TCTCCTAATTATGATTTTTTTTCTTATAATTCCGACTTCATTTTTATGACCTTGTTTCTCATAAATGACATTATATCTCATAATTATGAATTTGTCTCTTATCATTTGACTTTGTTTCTCATAATTAAGACTTTAAAACATGACATTATGACTTTGAATCGCATAATTATGACTTTCTATTTGGCATTTTTTTATTTTCATGTGGCAGAAACGGGCTTCCATACATAACAGTTTTTAATCTGATAGATCAGGAATCTGCCAACTTGAGTTTGTGGCTTACTTTAATATCCTAAATGCGCTCTATTCCTCAGTTTCCTTCCTGTGTTTGTTATCTATTTTTTTTGTTTGTTGTGCCCTCATGAAAAAGTAAGACAAAAAAACACTGACTTCATAGGTAAATTTAGTCTATAACTGCTATGTTTAGAGATTATACCCATTCAGTAATGGTTAAAGGATCAATAGAACACTTTAAGTTTAAAGTCCCACTTGGCGCGTGGGGATCCGTCACGTCACCGGTCATATTCATTGCATCATGTAAGTTTAATGACTCATTGAGGTCTAGTCCCTCCCGTTCCGGTGAAACTACCTCCAACAGTGTCAGATAAATAGAGAGAGATCCAGGCAGGATCATACACACACCCACTGTTAGAGATGTTCTCAGAGATCGAGTGCGGGGTTTGCTACCGAACATACAACGCGGCTCGCCGCTGTCCCCGGGAGCTCCGCTGCAAACACAGCTTCTGTGAGAGCTGCCTCCGGGCGATGAGCCGCCCGCTGGGGGGACAGCAGTCCATCGACTGCCCGCTGTGCCGACACACCACCACCCTGAGCGGACAGGGGAGCTTCAAGACTGAGCTCAGGGTGGATGAGTCCGCCCTGGAGCGGCTGGTAGCAGCGGGAGTCCTGGAGGGAGAGGACCGAGAGAAAGAGGAGGAGGAGGAGGAGGAGGAGGAGGAAGGAGAAGTTCCAGAGAGTGAGGGGGAAGTTCCCGAGACACGATCCGAGGAGGGCGACTCCTCAACGGGGAGCAGAGGTGGGAGGCTCCGCCGGTCCTGGAGGAAAGTTTGGATGAAGATAAGCGGCAAAAAAAGAGATGGTAAGAATTATATAACTTTTTGGTTGTTTCTTTCAATTATAGTATCCTTCAGTTACCATGATTTTAGGAATATCATATATATATATATTTTTTTTTTACATTAACGTTTTTCTTTACAATAATTAAAATTAATTGGAAGGGAATTGAAACGTAAAAATTAATAACTAAATTATCAATTTAGAGAAGCTCTAAAAGGCTATAACTGCGGCTCTAAAATACAGTATTTTTTAGACTGTATTTACAGTACAGTACGGTATTTTTCACTAGCTTTGTTAATTTCTTTACATACAGTGTGATTGGTTAGACTGCGACAGTTGGGTCACAAACTGACCAATGAGAGAGCTCGTTACATTTGAGGAGAAGCTGTGATTGGTTAGATTGTTTTCAGCGTGCTCAGGGGCTAGAAGGATCACAAAACATAAATAGGGAGGGTAAAAAAAAAACAAATAAAATGCCATTGCACCAAAAGATTTCAAATGGAATAAGGAATAACATTTTTAAAATGTGCAATTAGGAAAAGTATAATCAGGTTAAAATAATTCTGGCTTTTACATCTCAATTCAGAAATGATATTTAAAATACATTTTCAAATAGCAGTATTTAATAATGGATTAATACGGTAAATACAATTAAACTTTAAATATACAATTAGAAAAGGCTTTTCCATTTGCGTGACTACAATGTTGAATTTAAAATGTCAAACTTTTAGTGACCCTTTTTATTTATTGGTGTCTTCTGTTTAATCTATACTTTATTAATAAAAGGACATCTTATAATTACCTTCATGTAGATTGAAGCTGACCCATTCGGTTTTATCTAAGTTAATCTTAAAGTCTTAAATCAGTCTGATTCATCCAGTTGAACAGGAGTTGCTGACCTGTTTTTTTTTTTTTGTCTCTTACAGAGTGTATGACCAACGATGAGCTGAGGAGTATGGCCATGATGGCCTGCTACATGTTCTGAGCTGCATGGCCCAACCCACAGACCCCGGACAATGTGATATTATTTGACAGAACTGAACTGGATGGAGATCATGAAATCTTGCTGGCAAGACTGGATGCATTCATCTTTATTAAAGTGCTTTATTCCAATGGTGCACTTAAAAGGGATATGTTTCCCTTCAAGAGAAGGATGCTTATTAGAAGCTTTAATCATCCACAAGTGTATTTATTTAATATTTATAGTTTTTTTATGCACAAAACATTTTTTTTACAATGCTGTATTTTAAGACTAATAAATTACTTCTTAATATAAATACTTGTTTGCTTGTCTTTTTTTTTCTGACTGAAAAATTTGGGAAACTGAATATGCAACAAAGAAACACTAAAATGAGATGAAAGTAAAAAAATTGAGTTTCCTTCTTGGAGCAGTAAGGAGGAAGTAGGTTACCTGCAGCCAGGTGAACAGCATTGTCTCCAATTAACAGCAGCAGAGTTTCTCTGCAGGAGAACAGAGATTGAAACACCAGTACGCCTCCATTTTACATCTTTCCTTTGAGAATCGTTTAAACTCAATCATGCCTGAGGGTTTTGGTTTTCTTTCAAGGTAAAGGTGCTTTTTTTTTTTGCAGCTAAACACACAATATAAAATTAGTGAGGAACCTTAATTACAAAATGTTATTTAGGAGGGAAAGGGAAACCTCAGTTTCTGTTTTTCTCTCTGCAGACTTTTTTTGGTGATCTGTGCAGCTGTTATGTTGCCAGAAGCTGCAAGAGGTGAGCATAGGCATATAGTTTAAAAACGATCAAGCTCCTCATGTCGGGCTTTTAGATGTGGTGTAGTTGGTAGAAAATTTAAGTGTTTTTTCTATGTAAGAAATTGTTTCCCCCCTTATATTAATTACATAATTGATTTCTGCCGATTCCAATATATAATTTAGTTTATTTATACTGCTTCAATGAGCCCAAGGTGCAAATATAATTGCTTGTATAGTAATGTGACAAACTTCATAGGTGAATACAAAGTAAAACTTTGTTTTATTTTAGAATTTAACCTAAATTGACGGTGACCCCATTTAACTGATATTTATACAAGCCCATGAAAAATTTCCAGCATATA